ATTCTTGGATCTTTAGTTAGGATTAGAAAGGGGCATTAATTCAAGAAGGGAGGATGAGGGAGGGGTGTCTGTGGAGCTTTGGGAGAGGAGGAGAGGAAGTAGAAATAGTTCTGTGCTCACCTCCCCACGCCCCCTTGGCCTCCACCCAGCCCAGGCCTGGGTGTGAGTTACACGCTGGGGATTTGGATTCTGAATTTATTCTAAATATTCTGATCACCAACCTTGAGTGTTTCCAAGCTAAGATGCCAAAGAATGGTTTTTCCTTGTGGTTGGTTCTTTCGGTTAGGAAATAGGAGAGGCCATGAAACCTTATAGAACTGGGAGAGGAGGCGTGGTAACCGCTCTCCTGAGAGAATCCCCAAAAAGGATGGTTGTGAAGGGAATCCTGGGCTGAAAACTCCGGTCAGCAGTGCCGAGTTCCCTTTTGCAACCAAAATCTGTCCTGGTTCTGCATGACTTCATCCACTTCTGGAAGGCTGTGGAAGTGGGTTTCTGGTCTCCTTTGGGGGATTTTCCAGAAGGAAAGCAGGCCTGAGGGTCCCAGAAAAATAGGCAATCCCAAACTAGGCCCAGAGGAGCAGAGGGCAGGTAGCGGCTGGTGTGCAGGGGCTGGGGGGAGTATTACTAACAAGAGACGGACCTTGGCTTATGACCCCCAGTTGCCAGAGGTCAACTCTAGGTCATTCCTAGGGCCCTAGCTTCCCACCAGGCTAGATGTGTTTGCAGGGTGACTGACAGGCCTCTGGCAGACCCTGAAATCCCCGTGATCCCTAAAAGCAATAGAGATGTCCTTAGCTCCAGGGCTTTGGCCCCTTACCACCTGGTCCCTGTCCCATCCCAGTGTCCTCTCTATAATTTCTGGCACCTCTACCCCCCATGCCTAGTCACCAGGGCCATCAGAGAGACTCAGAAATCACTGCCTTGTACCAGAAGGCAGTCACCTAAGCTGAGCCTTTGGACCCATTAAGTCACTTCTGGGGCAGGTCCAGTGCAGACAAAGGCAGGGATGCAGAGAAGAGCTGGGAAGTGGCTCTGGCATGTCTAAGGCCAGCAGGAGCTTCCCACGCCAAGGACTTTGAAGCCTGGAATGAAGAAGATGAAGGCGGGGAGGATGCTGAGGTCCCGTCTCCCAGTTTCCATGCATCCCCTCTCCCCACGCATGCCCTGCACCCTCCACCCCGCCCGACCCCCTCCCGGTCTACGTTTTTCTGCGGGGCCCATTCACTCTGGGCATCACTGCCCTGGCCAGGTGCACTCCGCATCCTCAGGGTCCCCTGGCCACTGCATCAAGCGCAGAAGGACAGGAAGCAGGGCCCGCGCGGTCGGGTCCGGCGGCTGCCTGAGGCCAAGAGGAGTCCTCGCGTGCCTCAGGCCCTGGGCTGCGCCCCGGGGGACCAGCAGGCTCAGGACGCTAGCAAAGCAGCTCCCCTCCGAGATGCCCGCGGCCGTGCTGGGGCACCACCGGCGGCCACTCCCAGCAAGCCCCAGGGCCCCACACCCACCCGGTGCCCGCGACCCAGCTGGGTACTTGGATTTGTATTAGGATTTGGTTTAAGGTTTCCAAGAGGACTGCCCTGGCCACAGTGGATCCCTTGGGGACATTGAAAATACCTGCTCTGCTGCTCTCTGGGGTGGGCGCATGGAAGGAGGGAGTGGGGTTCAGCCCTAAAAGGCTCCGCCTTTCACCTTGGGACACCCCCCATCCCACCTTCCAGCTGCCCCAGGAACCTTCTGCAAATAAGAGCATCAGCTCCAGATCATTTGATTTTTACTCTATTAATTTTCCGGCCCATTTCCAGATCTAGATTTTTTTTTTTTTCCTGCTCTGGTTAGAGACAGTGAAGAGGCAAAAGAAAAAGAAGGAAATCTAGATAGAGTGTTTTAAAATCTTTCTAGAAATCTCCATACAGTTGGGGTTTTCCTTGATAGAGTTTGACGTTTATTGTAGAGGAAAGCTACTCAGGAAAACTTTATTAGGATTTCACCCACAGCTCCAGCAAGAGGGGCTTGCTTGCATTCCCAGATTTAACACAGTTGCTGTCAAATCTCAGGCACTCAGAAACTGTCTAAAGAGGAGAAACTTTAAAACAACTAATTTCAGAAGGGAGACCTTCCATGTAGGATTTTTTTCTTACAGGGACCTTCAGTTTTTTGTATCCTTGAGTGTGAAGCAGTTAAGCATCATTGCACCTTCTTAAATAAATCCCCCCCGCTTTTTTCCTTTTTCTTTGCTTAAGGAAGGATTCATAAATGTGCAGATAAATATGTTGAAACGAAAGCAATGATCTCAGCATCTGGCGCACTTTTACACTGTCAGATTCTACTGACATCTTTTTTCTTAGAATGGGGGAAACCTGCAGTCATCATTCTCAGATGAAATCTATTCAAAGATGATAGTTGAGTCTGTTTTCAGGCAATGGATCCAACATATTCTTTCATCTGCCATTTATCTATCTATCTAATCTATTTTTGGAACTGTAACACATTGTAGGGGGTAGGCTATTAAAAGATAAATCTACCATTTCCACATTAGGACACAGACATGATCACACGACAGAGTTCTTTTTGGCCTACTCTATGTGTTGGTAGGCGGGAGCCAAACCTAGCCTGAATGGTCTGTCTTAGAATAATGATCTTCCCATAAAACCTTCGCTGGACTTGGCATGACTCAGAGCATCGCAGGGGTCAGAGACTCAAGAGCATCTGTATGTTCTCAGGGTGCACTGTCCGTGTTAATTCCCTGCACTGTACCGGTAGTGAGACCTTTAAAATCTTCCTTGGAATATCACTGTACATTCCTATGCTATTTTAAAAGTACTATTTAATGGTTAGGTAAATAGGTCCCACTTTTCAAGGCTCTGTGCTAGCAGACATCTGGCTTCCACTACACCGCTGTGGTCAGCATGGAAAATCTCCTCTCCTGCTCCGCTGTGAGACCCCTTCGCCCTCCACCGCCCTTCCCCAGTGACTAGCCTAGGTGAAGGCGATGAGAACAGAAAATGGCAATGGCTTTTGGACCCCATTCAGGTGTGCAAACAGAATCTCTCTCTCCCCAGCTTTTGAAAGCGAATGCCTTGATAACAGGATGGGCTCCCCAGGTGGCCAGAGAATAGAGGTCATCTTGAGGAAAGGGACACCAATGATCTAAAAAGGACATCTACTTTATGAGATTTCAGGCAAGATTCCAAATACGCATTTAATGAGGTCCGATTCTTTTTCTCCAGAAATAACAGAGGCTATGAGTGAGCTGGTCAGGAAGGCAAAGGGGCATTTTGCAAAGTCTCCGTTCAATTATTGCTTTGTAATATTGTTCTAAAATTGAAAAATGCCTCACGAGTCTATGATCTCCTGTAAATATTCCTTGCAGGAGCTTAACATACGTTTGCACTGCCCCAAAGGAATTACAAAAATATTCCCTCCACAATCTCTTAAGCTTTTAAACTCTATTCACTAGCATTTCTAAAAGAATCTGTTGTTCCTAAAGACTTTTTTTTTAAGTGACCTTATATGGGAAGTTTTCTTGTTTTGTTTTGTTTGTTTGTTTGAGATTAGCCATTTGAAGTTGAAATGGAGAATAATTGATATCACAGATAACACTTCCAGGTTTTATAACTTCAGTATGTTTCTTGTTTCTTTTTTTTTTTTTTTGGCATAGAAATAATTTATTTGGCAAAAGCTTAGTGTATACTCTGACATGAAAGAGTATTTTGTGCCGTAATGTTTTAAAAGCATTTCTAACGTGAAATGTGGATGAAAGCCCATGATGTATTTGGGACAGCTCTGACAGATATGAATACAAATTTGTTTATATGAGTATTTTAATGCATAGTCAGACTATTTAGATAAAGGGAACTGGGAAAATTATAGAGTTACGCTAAATGAAAATTTAAGTAAAAGATTCTGTCAGTTACAGCAGCCTACAGATTTCAGCAGGTGTATGCGTTGTGTGTATTTTTTCACACCAATTGTAAAGTAATTCAAATAAAAGTGGGGCAGATTAAAGAAGAATAACTGAATCTCCACGTTGGAAAAAAAAATTAGATTGACTCACTGGTTTATCACAGTTATTGTACCCAGATTGACTGTAAGCATGTTGAATTTTTTAAATTAGATTTTAAATATATTTTGACAGTCTGAACTTGTAGAGTATGGCTAACTAGGGGGAGAAATGACAGGTCTGCTTTGTTATTAAACTGCTGTCTGGAAAATATTGGACTCCGTACAGTAAATGATAATTATTTTGCCACTTACATTAGTATAGCTAATAGCGATAAGGGGTTTTTGAACCATAGAAAGCTAACTGCTTTGAATTACTGTGCTTTGTTATTCACTGTGAAGCAAAAAGACCTTTTTTTTTTTTTTTCTAAAACAATCTCATTTTCATATTGTCGTTCTAAGCATTCTCTACTACTAATTTAAACAGAGAGGAAGTTAATAAATAAAAGGGTGGTCTCTAAATGGTTCTGTTTGTTAGAGAGCATCTGCAATTAAGGTCATCAGTGCCAGCGGAATAGACCAGGGCCATGGAAGAGGAGGGGGGAAGATGGAAGAGAAACAGGCCCTAGTAAAGAGCCGGGGTTTGGTTTTGGTTCCCTGGGGATGGGCAGCCTTTGAACACTTGAGAGACACCCATCAGAGACCATTCATATCCTCCTCCACTGTGAACCCAGGATCGCTTGGTTCTCTGAACTGAGGGCAGCTCTAAAGCTGATCCAGGCTGCCAGGCCAGTGGGCATCACTGTCTCAGCCCCCCAGGACCAGAGCAAGAGTGAAGAGGGGTCGTTGATAAAGCATCCCACGCCATTCTCTTCCATGTGAACCCTTCCTCTGGCAGGGCTGAGACCAGGATGCCAAGGCAAATGGACCTAAATCACTCTTCTTTTGGTCTCATTCTGCCCTTTTCATAGGTAGTTAGGCTGCCTTGAACATACTGTCCTTCTAAAGCCCTCTTCATGGTTATTAATGACCCTTTGTTTATTTTAATATATTTACTAAATCAGGTACCCAAGGGAATCCTCTACATCAGTGATGTGAAAAATCCTGTTGCCTGAAGTCAAAGAGGTACATCTTGATTTCTGATTTGCATGTGCTTGTTTTAGTGCATTTTCCATGAGGGAGACAGCAAGCAAGCAAAGCAAGTGAGGAATGCTGATCGTTTTCGAGGTGCCCAGGTCTCCTGCTTCAGTGGTTTTAGCATTGGGGTTTCACGTGTACGTAAATGGTGATACCAGATGCTGAAGTGAAGGATGCATTGTGTGTTGAGATGAGCATGCATGCATTTTTATATTGATTTCATGACGTAGGCGTGGTGTACAGAGTACTAATCCAGTCCGAGTAGATCTCAGATCTTTAGCCTTAACTAGCGTGAGTCTGTTGACTCATCTTTATATTTGAATGTCAGACAATTTGCGTTGTCCCCCTCCTGTGTCCAAATGTGAGTTTGGAGCCACTCCTCCCTTCAAACGTAGGCAGAGGGAGGCAGAAATGTGATTTTCACCTATGAAAAAAAATGAAATTAAGCTATTTAAATGGGTTTTCAATTACAGGGATCCCGGGGTGAATTTAATTATGAATCCTCTTCGTTTAGAGAGCTAGACCAACACTCTTACACCAATAATTACTTAGTGTTATCGTTTTATGTATTCCTGTTACGTCTTATTGGCTAATGGAATGAAGTTTGACTTTTTTTTTTTTTTTTTTTTTATTAAATTTGCTTGCTGAGAAATTTGCATGAAATACAGCTTTGGGTTTAAGTCCCACCGTCAAATTGCTACTGTTTAAGAAGGAGACACTTTAAGAATCCAGTGAATTGAGGGTGTCAGGAAACAGACCCGGATTTTTTCCTGCTCTTCTGATATGGTATCTGATTACTTACTTTTACACGTTGTTATAAGGACAGGCTTTGAATAACTGGACTGTGAATATTTAACATGATTTCTTTCCTAGCCTTAAACAAAATTAACATTTTCTTTAATAGCTCTCATACATAGATTTTAACTAAGTGTACACCTTTGGGATTAATTTGTGTATCCTTTGTATGCATGCCATACCAATACTTTATTTCTTTCTCTTTCTATTCCTTTCTTTTATCCCTGTCCTTATAATTGCAGTTTGAAAGCCATCTATTAAATATAATGATCCAGACACACCGGGCAGGTTTTGTTACACCGAAACCATCCATTTTGAGCAAAGAGTTAATGAACTTTTAAGGCAAGGTTCACCCGGGTCTTGACCGCCCCCCCCCCCCGTAATATTTCATATAAGGTTACTGGCGGGAGAGAAATCAAATTTCAGCTGTGAACACGATTGACAGGCGAGAGTGAGGAAGAGAAAGGCATTTGGCTAGATGGGGAATTTGGAGAGGAGGACAATTCCTCCAAGTTACTCTGTGGTATTAGATATTATAAGCTGATATATGAAAAGTTCAATACTTGATACTCCTGGGAGAGTTACTTAGTTTATTTTCAGAAAGTCACTTTGGTTAAGAGATTTCAGTCCTGGAAGCCAAAAATGGGGAATCACTAGCTTTCTGCTGTCTTGCTGATTTCCACTATGTACAACTTTGTGGCTTATTTTTGGCAATTTTCTAGGCTAGAGTGTGAGAATTAAATCACAAGCCATTTGGGGAGGCATTTGATTATTTTATTTATTCTCAGAAACACAGTCTAGATTATATTCTGGCTCTTGGGCATATTACAGAATAGTCATCCTAAGTGGTATCACAAAAAGATCAAATTCTCCATTTTCATAGCATCCCTTGATCCTAACATTTTCCATTAGTGCACATTCCAGCTTAACATACGCAAATCTACCCAAGTGCATGATTTATCAAGGTTGTGCCTTCTAAGCAAAGTCTTCTAACATGACGATCAAGAGAGACAACAATCCCACACTGCTGTTTGATGTCAGTTTCTCCATGGTAGCATCCCTGGGTCAGGTGTGATGTTAGCATCGTCACCATGGAAAGAAGTGATGGTGTTGCTTGACCCTAAGACAAAGAGTGGCTTTGGAATTCACCTTAGAGGCTGTCTCTTAGCGTGAATTGTCAAAAGGAGGTAACACAACTACTCGTGGTTGGCACCAAAACTGAAAGCAGGCCTTTAATACATGCTCTTTCATCTTGTGTGTTGAAACACTGATTTCAGGAGATACTGGTGGACCTTAGCCTGCTGATGTGTATGCTCTACCCATTACAGATGTTCCTGACATTGGCTAAGACCCATCCGGATGCAACCGAGCCTTAACAGAGCTGCCTTGGGGCAGGGCAGGTCGGACACATATAACATAGGGGAGAGGCCTGTTGGTAGCTTTCCTGTCACCCGTGGGAGTTTCCTGATGGAACTTGTAAAAACAGCTCTTCCCGGGTTCTAAGTACCCGTCACTTTTTTTTTTTTCCTAGTCTTAACAATTAGCTGAGTGGATATGTTTTATCCTGACTGTACCTATGCTGACGTGAATTCAAACCAATGTAAGGAAGGCTTTACTCTGTTATGAACTGGGATATAAACAAAAAACACAGTAAAAGGACTCCGAAATCTTGTTTCTACTTTGTATAACGTGTCCTCCCACGTTGCCAGGAATCACCCAGAAATAAAACGCAAGCATGGTTTCCCAACGTCCAGTGTCAATGTGGGTACCTGAGCACAGCTATTTAATTCCAACATAAAATTAAAGATGTCATAAGCATATTTCCTTTGCAGAGTCCATCAAAATATTTTAACAGAAATGGTGAATGAGGTGTTCTCAGGCAGAGGCCATGGGAAAACACAGACAGTAAGTTTTCGTCTCCTGGTGCCTCGGTTTGAAAAACCCAAGTGAGAACCGTGGCTGGTCTTGACTGTGGCTTCACTGCAGACCCCTCAGGGCCTCTTGGTACTCAGTTTTTAGAGTAACTGCCCCGTCCTGGAAGACAGCAAGGGGCAGGATGCTGTCTGGCACGCAGATCTGGAGAGCAGACCAATCCGTCACAGATGCCATGAGTATGTCTTAGGCACATTACATCACTGTATTTGTTGGCACTGAGAAAATAAGGGAAAATAATTCTGTTTAAAGCGTTTTATTACTGGGACTAACTTACCTAATTGTTTGTTGTTGTTGTTTGTTTAATCAGATTATGCTCCTGCCTAAGCCCCCCCATCCCCCTTTCCATACAAGGCTGCCTAATGTCTTCCTTTCTGTGGACACTGGCCCACTAGTGAGCAGATTTAATCAATTAATTATGGCAGAGCAGGTACAGGGCAAGCAGCTCAATGAACTCACATTATTTCCAGTCAACGTTAGAATGCTATCAAAGGGGCTGCTGTAAAGAAAGGAACATTATGCGTTTGGGAGCATTTGGGGGTGGGGGGAAGGAAGAAGGAATTTTTGCACTAGTATAGCACTCGTTATTTAAAACAAAATGATGCTTCTGTAAAGAGCTTTCGTTCTAAAAGCACACATTCAGTCACCTGCCAAAATCTCAGATTTATTGCTGCCGTTCACAGATGCCAATGTTGAAACTCTCCTCGCCTGCCGCTTGCTGAGTCTTTCATTTCCTCGATCCAAAAATTACTGTAAAGTTGTTTAGTGTCTGCCTTTTTTTTTTTGCTTTTCCTGGCACCTAATGAAATTATCAGCAATAAATGAGCTATACAGAAGGGTTGGGTTTGCTTTTATTTATTTATTTATTTTTTGGTCTTTTTTTTTGGCAGTATTTGGAAAATGCTGGGACAAGGGTAAGCCGGTGGGAATATTCGGAGTGCCTCCCTTTCCAGCGTCTACAGGAAATAAAGCTATTAGCATTTATATAATTTCAGATGGGAACTAATACTGAAGGGGGGAGGGGGGAGGAAGTTTCAGGTGTTGAGTGGGAAACAACACAGCCCTGACCTCCAGTATAAACTGCTGGAAGATATTACCACCTAATTAACAATCCAGGGGCGCATCCTACACCTTCATCACTGGTGAGGTGAAAATGACAAAAAAGAGAGGAAGGGAGTTTGTTTTTTGCCATTCCCTCAGCAAGCAATCATCCTCTAATGACGGGTCATCCACATGCAGCAAGTGACGATTTCTTTTTAGTCCTTTGAGTCTATAGAAAAGCACAGTAACTTCATTTGCTGGCAGGTAGGCAGTAGAGGTGAGAATTGAATTGATCTGAAATTGACCCTGCGGTCACGCCTCCTTTAAATTGGGTTCTTCAGACAAAGTTTCTTTTCTTCTTCCTGGGCTCCTGCCAGCAGCCAAGCTGAGTCTTGAGTGGGGTGGGGTTGAGGTGCAATTATTTAAAGGGATTCTGACCCCAGGGTTGAACCCCCAACGCAAAGTTACTCAGGATGGAGACCTTTTGTTACAGGTGGTGCTTAATTAAAGGGCTTGAGTCTACCGCGAAGGCGTGCCTCCGGTTTGTTTATATTTTAGAATGAGGTTCATTCCTGATGTACAAGAAATGGTGGAGGAAGCATCTCTTACTGGGCTGAAAGTTTTGAATGGAGAATAGAATTTTCTGTTTCCTTTTAAATTTCTCTTCCTTATTTAACCGCCCCCCCCCACCCCGCCTCTTTCTGATGGAGCCATTAAAGGCCTTTCAATAAATCTTAGGGTGCACACGATACCTTTGACAGTGTTGGAAATCCTGCCTTGCTTTTCAGATGGCCAGGCGAGCCTGCTGGACAGGAGGCCTGGCCTCTCTCACCTCCCAGCGGCGAGGGTCGCCAAGAGAGATCAGAAATTCCTTCACTCATTTTGACCTTTTGGACCTCAGCTGAGAACCCCTGTCTCATTCTTTGCTCCAGTGGTTAGTGCCTCCTGGTAGTTCTGTCCTGATGCTCCAAGGCTGTTTTGTTTATGTGATATCCAGTTTTCCCAGCCATTTTCTTTTCTTTTCTTTTTCTTCTTCTCTTTTTCTCCTTTTAAAGCCCGGAAGCAGTTCCTCACCACTGCATAGTAGAAGGAAGGTGCACGTGCTTTAACAGGCGTGTTTGGAGATGTGAGCCGCAGTTCCCCCGTGCAGGGAAGGAGCCACAGTTTGGTATGAGGACAGGACTTCTGTAGACCTCGGGGCTGCCCCGCGGCCCAGGGCG